TTCAAAGGAGTACAAATCCTTCAGATCCTCCTCCAGATTAGGCAAATCCTCTTCTAAGTCAACCAGGTCATTTAGGCCTTATTCAGGCCGATCATTCTGATGTTGCCCTAACTGGCCTTCCCCGATAGCATTAATGCTGAGAAAGTCTGGCAATAAGACTACTGGCTTCGGCTGATCGATGGCCACAATGTATAAACTGGGATCGTACTCCTTCGCGAGTGAGACCCCCTTCTCTATGACACGGGTATCGGACGACCCTGTCTTCAGTGCATTCTCTTCTTTCTCCATTTCTACTGTCACAAACCTAGATTGGGCTTGTGGTGTTAGATCCATCATGCACATGTTTGTGCCTTCTGGAATAACTACCTTCGATTTTGGTAGATGGGGTGAGGTAATGTATGTGTTAGGGTTGAAAGTGGGCGGTAATGTGTATATGTATGTGATTAATGTTTCTAGGCGGGGGAATTTGGTTATGTGCGGGAAGTGGGTTGGTTGTTACGTTTGGTTCAGAAGGTGGGGCAATGACTTTGTTGTTAATGTGATCTTGGATCTCATGACATAGATAATAGCACATGTCTGTGGGATGGCCATGTTGTTGGTGGAAGATACAATATTAGGTAGGGTGATGTTTAGGTGGCAATGGGCCCGGAAGTGGACGAGGATCGAGAGGCTTAAGATGCCCCTTTTCCATTAATAGTTTGAGGGCGCGGACTGGGCTTATATGGAGGGGAGTAAAAACTCTTCGGTTCCGAGGTGGGCCAGTATTTTGTGAAGGTTATGAGGTTGTGGCAGTAGCAAAGGGATCAACCATCTTGGCCATTGAAATAACAGTACTGACATCCACAGGCCATGGAATAGTGCTATAGCTAGCATTGATATTCCGAGAGAATGGCCTTCTTGCAAGTTCGCTTATTCTATGGATAATACCTTTTTTGAATGCACTCTCAATCTGGACCCCCATCTCGTGTAAGGAAGCAAATGTGGACAACGGTGCCAGTATCATTCTCAGCAGCATATCTGGCTCGAGGTTCTGGACCACTAGTCGGACGTGTTCTCTTTCAGCAGGTCTATTTGTCATTCGGGCTGCCTTGGCTCTCCACCGGATGACAAAATCAATGAATGATTCTTTGGGGTTCTAGGTAGTAGCCTCCAGCTCACTAATGGTTACCTCTATCTGAGTGTTATATGAATACTGATTGACAAATGCCTCAAATAGCTCCTCCTAATTCCGCTTTGTTGAGTCTTCCAATTTAGCGTACCAGATGGTTGCCACATCAGATAAGGTTCTCTCAAACAAGGAAAGCTTTTGTGCCCTAGACAAACCCATTGGCCTTAATATATCCGAAAACAACCGAACATGCGCAATCGAATCCCCACTTCCATCAAACCTGTCGATGTGGGACATCTTAAATTTCTCCAGTAATCTGACTGAAGCCTCAGTATACCCGTCTTCGATATCCGGTATAGAGTTGAAGCCCTGGGATTTCTTCAATGCTTTCTCTAATCTAGCAATCTTGACCAAGGCTGGATCAATTTCATTGATATCGAAAGGAAAGATTCCTGCGAGAGGTTGAATCGGAGGGCTATAAACCGGAGCCTGGGGAAACATTTCCTGAAGATTTGGGATTTGGGGATTTTCTACTGGTGAGGGTAGATCCGGGTTTGGCTAAATAGCCGAGATCGGATGCACAGTTGATGTGGATGCCCCAGATATACGTCGTAGATTAGCGATATTTTCATCTTGTGTAGCCATCTTTTGGTTTACAATATCCATGGTTCTCTGGAAAGCCGCCATCATGGCAACAAATTTCTTCACGTTTTGTACTGTATTCTGTGCCATTGCTGGTTTGGGTGAACTAGATACTGGTGAACTGATTGAGTGAGAACGGATAGGTGTTTGTAGAGTGCTTTGTACTGGTGCTGCTGACTGTCTGTTCCTTTTTCGTGGAGTAACTGACGAAAGTGAGACCAACACAGGCTGGCCACCAACAAGGTCTTGAGCTTTGCAAAGCCTGGCAAAGCGAGTCCACACAACTTGGGGAATATCAGGTCTTTCTGAAGCTATGATGGTAAAACTACCTAGCAACAAGAAAGAAATAAAAACATAATAAAAAATCGGACAGCACTTCAACCCCAATTCACAACAGTAATAACACACAGCTGAACTGTAATCTCCACTAAACTTTGTTCTCAAACTCATACTAATATGAACCATCCTGTGCAGCCAAAAGCACATACCAAGTAAAAGAACCAAAACAGCCCTATGAGGGAGTAGAGTTACCTTGTCCTAAATTTTTGACATGATCTAGGCTATACTATTTCAAACAACGAGTTTCACAATATCCTCAGCAAGATTACCTAATATACCTCTCATACTTAACATCGAGAAGTGAAAGGAGGATCAAGCGGTACAATAGTAATCCAAATCCAAGGTTTGTGTTTCCAACATGGCAGAGCCCATGACCGGTCAGCCTTTTGGCAAGCCTTTGGCAAACCGTCTAGGAATAACAGATGAAAAACACAGCGACTTAAAGTAACCACGCAAATGCAATGCAAAGAACATATAAGTGTAGATAAAACTTCACATCATTAGTTTCAAGTCAAGTTCTCTAAATCCCTAGCAGAGTTGCCAGAAACTATAGCTTGACTTTTCATGCTCCTTTCAGATACGATTAGCCACACAGTTCGAACTCATGTGGTTCTGAATCTGATTTCACAAGTGCAATGTGAAATAGGAAAAAAACACAAAAGAGTCCAAATCCGGCAATTCTTTTGGAAAATTAATTTTGAATCGAATGCCAAAAATGAACTACTTTGCCAGATTACAGAATTACCACCTAAATATTTTTAGAAAATTTAAAAAACCTGAGACTCGTACCAAAGGTCACTTATCTGTCATCACCAAAGTGTCTCAGCTTGAGAACTTAGGTACGAGAGAAGAAGATCATGAATTGAGTACCCCACCCGCCCGATCAAAGATCGGCCTCTACTAATCATGATGTGATTCTTATTTACATTATATGCTCTTGTTCCGATTATTAGTTATTTTTACAATGTGACTCATACAAGTATAGACTAACTTGCAAAAATTGGAACATTTGATTTTTTGTGTTTGTTTGAAAATTATTTTTTGATACTCGTCACTTGAAAATGTGAGTTCATACATTAATCAATTTATTTCAATTTTAGTAATTAGCCTCCATCCACTGGCATTCAAACAAGTATATCAATTAAGCCTCATAGAAAACATGCTTGATATGGTGACATAGACATACAATGCGATATGCTAAAACACAAAACGCTCACCTAGTACTCCAAGGCAAGCCAAGCAAAACAAAGCAAAATAATTAAAAAATATGCATGTTCCTAAACAATGCAATGTGACTAATGCAACGCACACATTCATGCAATTTTTATAGGCTCGGATATGAGCATGGTATATGATCCAATTCAAAACATGTGATAGAGCACGCATTCAAGCAATGAATTTCAAATCGATATTGGGTTAGTATGATGAGTCAAACCTTGGATGCATGCAAGATGATGGATGCAAAGCATAAGAATACTAATTTGAAAAATGATGTTCAATACTAACCATCATAAGCAAATAAGTAAAAGGAAGAAAGACGTGAGGTTGGAAGACATACAACTTATTACATATTGGCCCTCACATAAGAGAGTCCGAATCAAGGCCCGAAAGTCCGAATTAAACTAATTATTACAAAATCGAATGAATAAATAAGCAAAGAATTAACTAACTAGCTACTCTATTACAACAAGGATAATAATGAGAAGTAAACTAACTATCTAAGTTAATTAGCTATAAAAATTACAAATAAACAATAATAATAAGAATTACAACAATAATTGGAGCATTAATTTACAACATTGATGTAAGCAAGGATGCACAAGGGTTGCATGCATAGTGTCAAAGAATCTGTCAGCTTAGGCCTACTCTCTGTTTTCTGCAAAACATACTGCTGACCAAACATTGATGGCCAGCCATGCCATAATGAGGCCCTGTCGAGTCCAGAAAGGGCCGGTCGTGCCTCAATTTTATACAAAATCCTGTTTTGTGCTCTGAAGTGAAAACAGTGCAAACAGAGTTATTATGAACTCTGTTTATCCCTTTCACACTTCTTTGTCATGAGAAAACCTTAAGAGAAGGTTGGAATCATTTCCAAAACCATTAATTAGCAATTTGTTTGCTTGATGATTTTGGCCATAATTTGGACAAAATTCAATGAATGCAATGAACAATAACCATCTTTCCCTCCTGTCATAGAGTAAACTCAAAGAGAGAGGTAGAGACGCTTCAAGGTTTATCAAATCATCAAGAATTGTCGTATGACGACCCTTGACACGATGGACTTGGCATAACATCCGACCGAACCCCAAGCAATATGACTCATTTTATTTATGTTGGTTGGTCCATTTTAAGCCAAATTCATTAGTTTTTGTCATTCTTTAACCCATTTGTCCAAGATGATTGTTACGTCCACTAAAGATTATGTCCACTAAATGAGAAATATGTCAAACGGGAAGCGACTCTTAACATGAAAAAGAGACTATGTCATTGACAATGAATCTCCGTAGAGATTAAGCCATCAAGCATAGCTCTCTAGTTCATGCTTTGAATAAGCTTCAACTGATTGAAACAACTCTCAAATGAAAGAAATGAATGGTAAGTTGATTATTAAAATGAAGCTCTTAAACATGGAAATTAGACAAAGAAAGCTAGAATCAACATGCAACAAGCAATGTACAAGGACTTGTGAGACAACAAGCAAACTAATAAAAGCATGAATTAGTTAAACAACCTTGGATGGTCCTAAAACAGCCTCTATTAGGTAAAAAAGTAAGTGTGATGTAGTGCACTTAACTGACTGAACTTCTTCTCTGCCCCACTCTTTTTTTTAGGCACTTGATTTGTTCTTGTAACACAAATTTTCAAGTTTAGCATGCAAGAACGATCTTGTGTGTGTGTGTGTGTGTGTGTGAACCAGAACAGCATAACGTTGCTTCACTTCCATATATTATGAAAAATCATCCATTGTCTCTAGAAAAATAAATGAGACTGATCATACTAGCCATGGAGAAAAGCTTCCATTAAAAAAAAAATGAAACAATACCCGAAAAATCATTTACAGACCTGTCTTCATCAGCTGAAATCCACAGAATCAGCTCTCACCTACACCCATTAATTCACATTTAGAACCTATACACAAAATAAGCAGAGGATAAGAAACCCCATTGTCCAGAACATTTAGCTTCATTTGTTGTAAAACAAGATGTGACATTATCAAATATTTGTTAACCCCATTCTTCATATTAAAACAATTTTATTTTATCGTCATAAAAGGTTTCACAAAGAATCAAAAGGCATCCATGTGATGTGATTACACCAAATGGCATCAATTGAGTTCTTAGAATCTTTTTTCTGAAAATTCATACTTTGTTTAGATATGTGATTCCTTCTGAAATCAATAATCACAAATCACTTTTCTATTCCAATCCGTTCCAAACTCTGGAATCATGGAGACCCGGAATCACTTTCTCATTCTCCCTCAAGATTCTTGTCATCCAAACTTATTAGCCTTACTGGATATCCTAATTTTCAACATCCAAAGTTAAACAAACATTGAGGGATAGGAATTTTAGATGCCTATCATATAAAGAAATATGACACAAACATCATACTTCCAAATTTTCTTGTCATCCTGTCATATAAAGAAAAATTGCACAAACATTGAGAGATAGGAATTTAGATACCTTCAATTTGCCCAGAGTGAGGAGCTACTTCTGAAACATTTGATAACAGCTTGGTGTCAGTGGAGGAGAATCTATTCTTCAGCCTTCTCTGGAGGTTGAGGAGATTCCAATAGCTTGGCCACATGCAACGCCATTGCTCTCTGATTACTAGACGGTATGGAGAAACTTCTAGGAACAACTAATGGAGGAGTTGGAAGTGCGGATGCAGCACTAAATGCCCCGGCAGGGCTTTTGTTCGTTTGAGAAACCTCTTGATTCCTGAAGATCAATGGGGCAGAGTGCCTAATGGAAGAACTTACTGGCTTAGAGGTTAAACCACCTGGGGGCCTAGGAAGCTCATGAAGCTCACTTATTTTGGGTGAAGATACAATGGGAGGTGAAGCACTGGGAGACACCTTTGGAGATGATGAAGGACGAAGAGTATGTACTCGAGAAAGCAATCCAGAAACTAGTTGGGGAAGTTCAGATGATGTAATGGGGCTGCTGGCAGATAAAGAAGTCTTTGTTGACAATGGCTTATTAGTAAGAGGACCAGAGAAAGCTTGTCTCTTGAATTTTTTTGTATCATATGCATTATGTGCATCACATTGTGGAAGTGAGAGTCCCTGAGGCAGAGTTGGGGGGGTCCTGGACTGAGGGATTGTTGCTACTGCTCTCTTTGAGTTTTAATTGTGCTTTTGAGATGGCGGGCACTGACAAGTTATCATCTGTGCAATCTTTCTCACGCTTCTCAGGCTCCAGTGGGGATGAATGCCACAAACTATGGGTGCTTCCAATATGGCTTGTTGGCCTCAACTGCAGATCTGAACCATTTGTTATTGAAATCGAACTCTTCACATCAACAGGAGTGGGTAGCACATAACTGTGAAACTTCCGAGCAGACGGCTGCATTTCTCTAGCCCTTTCAGCTGGATCAAACTTCTTCTCTGCAAATATTGGGGCAGAATGGCTGCCCACTCGATGTTCCCGATTGAAATTCTGCTCCCCCACGCTTCTGTTAAGATTAACCTGCACAGATTAACAGGATCCTGCAAATTGACAACTGAAGACAAACAAACTAGACAAAAAAAATGCTGATGGCTGTTCTATCACCATGCCAAGCTGTTTCAAAAGTTGTTCAAAAGAGCTTATGTTCTATTTAGAAGAACAAAATAGTTGATGGCCTTGAACATAATTTGATTCTTTCGCCAGAGACAATCAAACAAGGATTACTTCCTCCCAATAGTCTACAGGAAAACAACTGTTTCACTCTATTATTCAAGGGGGATGCTGAAGTGCTTTACCTCTGCATTTTCAACCGTAGAAACTTGAGGACATGGAATATCCACCTGATCTAACTGCAAAATCCACTAGGCTTGCCTAATACCCTTTCGAGTCCGGGCCCGAGTAAGTCTCTAGGTTCGTGGATCCGAACCCTTTCGAGTCCGAATGCCTCGGATCTCTAGGCTTGCCTAATACCCTTTCGAGTCCGGGCCTGTGTAAGTCTCTAGGTTCGTGAATCCGAACCCTTTCGAGGCTTAGAGCCATTTAGCCCGTTTGATGGTGATAAATTCGGGCCCACCAATCTTGGACTATTGGGCCTAATTAATTTAATGAGCTCAAATTAGGTCCTCTTACAAAGAGAAACTTCTATGGGATAGTTACAAGGCAAACTCTAGTTACTCTCTACTCCTATGCTACTTGGAACGTGAGTAGACTTTTTGTTATGCCAATCCACTCTCCTTAGATTTTAGTTTATTATATTTGCTTTTTTCCTCTTAAGGAGATGTTAATGAAACATATTGGAAAAAAGTTTCGGAATCTCTTAGGATCACTAAATTCACCGTTTTGGAACAAAAGTATACTGTGTTTCAGAATGTATGTGCCAAAACATAAATCGATAGGGTATTAGCGTTTTGTGGTAACACTGCTCCACTCCATGGTATAGACAGTGGATGGGGTTGACAGTCAAAATCGCACAAGAAAGCTAATGTAGCAGGTTTCCAAAGAGCAAATTTACCTCCATCGAATTCCTTGATGTGGAAACAGCATCAAGGCCCTGCTTATTTTGTCTATAGTCAAAACTCAATTCCCCATCATCGTTAGTCTGAAGGCTATTCACACCTTCATTCTCCCGATCTTCCCCATCATCAAGTCCACTAAGTTGGTAGTCAATGTGTTGCTTTTCTGTAACCAGTCTTCTGTGTGGCTCAACTGCCTCAAGAAATTTAAGTCCCTTCCGAAATAAATTCAACTGCGTCCAGAGCAGAACAAAGGAGGAAAGACCAAAGACATTAGTAGTGAACTTGCAAAAAGAATTGAGAGTTCATGATATATGAATTTAATTGGAAGACATAAAGAACACCTGAGCTGCATGATGACGAGCTGCCTGTGTTAAAAGACTGCGGCATTGCCCTTGCTTCAGAGATTTCAATCGGAAAACACACAGGGTTGCCTCCTCATCATATTCATCACGAGCTGCTTGTAATTCCTGCGAAGTACAAACTTCCATTTTCCCACTTTTTGACTTTCCCTTTTCTTTCTGTTGTGCCACCATGTATTCGTACAAATTTCTAAAGGTTTTGTAACTAATCAATATGAAATGTACTTCAATCATACAAAGTTAAACTAACAGAATGATTTGTACCTTTTTTCGTCGCACTGCCTTTTCATCTCCTGTGCCAACAAACAAGAGAAAGCTCATTGAATACAAATTCATAAGAATGCCATCATCATAACATACCGAGGTAGTCAAGGTATCCAACCGATGACAAGGTGACCATGACAGACCTTCCTAGTGAAGGCAGCCAAAATGACCAAAAAAAAAAAAGTGTGAGGAAGGCTAGACGGGGGCAGATCAGATTGACATTTTGAAAATTGAGACGTCAAATATTTAAGATATTTCACTTTGACTCAACCGTATTAACAGTAGAAAAATCACCTATGAACTAAATCAAAGAAGTTCTTGTTATGTTAATGTTTGATTAGCACATCAACCACCAATATTTCTTCAATAAGGTTGCTCAAGGTTATGATTTTGAAACTAAATGAGGCCTAACTTTTCCGTTTTCCTTAGTGAAATCTGATTAAGGAAATTGTCGAGCTTGACTCGTTCAGCAGTCAAGCTTGAAACCAAAGATCAAGTTTGGTGTATTTGATTGGTGAAAACGTTTGAAGATCATTAATCAGCCAACAATAGCTATTCATGAGAAACTCGTTTTCTAGTTGGCTGCAGGCATAGATATCAGCAACAACATAAAAAAATAAAAATAAAAACACTAGAATCCATATAGACAAACCTCCACTGTCCGAAGTTCGTTGAGAAGCGACTCTGATGGGGTTGTAATTGTCAGGATTACATGAGAGCGCTGACATGGAGAAACAAAGTTGAAATCAATGCTGTAAAATGAAATCAAATAGAGTGCTGCAGCATAAAACATTACAATAAGAACTCACATAGCTATCAACAAGTTTCTGGGGGTCAAACTGCACATTTCCCAGCACTGACAATACTTTGCCTGCACAAACATAAAGTAGAGATTGCAGCACAATTCCCAGGTTGGGCAAAATGCTGATTTCTCCTCTTTACACATGAGTTGCAAAATCCAAACCAGTTGAATAATAACCAAAACGGTTAAAAAACAAGATGATAGTGATGATTACAATTATAGGTATGGTACTACTAGATCATATTCTTAACTTCACTCACAACACATGAGTTTAGGCAATGTTTCTATATACAAAAATAAAAAAACACTAACATGCAGAGTTGTAAAGCTGAGTTTAAAAAGAGAGGAAAATAAAGTAGATAAATCCGGTTTTTGATCTGAGTCTAGATCCCTTATTCTGGAGCCTTCTCCACTATTTATACTGTCCTGTAGTAACCGTCGAAGTAGGCTTCCAACCGTCGAACCGTCTTCCCATGATTGCTGAACATGTCGCCTTATAGTGAGTTCCACTACGCCACTCTTTTCAGTTAAGCTTCCCTCCTGATTTTAAATTTAAATGTATGAGTGACCGTTAAGCCACGTCCTCTTGCATCTCTTCGCTGATCCAGTGCTATGCAGATCCACAATAACCAATGCTAACTGCCACGTGTATGATTGCGATTCGAGATTTGAACTGTCTTCTCGTATTGCCCTCATCCTGCCACGTGTTGAATTGCGATGGGCCTGTACAAAATATGTAACCAACAGATATGCTCTCTCTCTCTCCCTCACTCTCTCTCACACACATAGCTCCCTCTTCTCTCCTCCTCCTCCTCCTTCATTTGTAAAGTGAAAAGGGAAAAAAAAAAAAAAAACTACCCAAAACGACGTCATTTTGGGCAGTCAAGCCACTTGGGCCAAAAGAAATTCGAACTACCAAACGGAACTGAAAAAAAAAAAACACAACCCAACAAATAAAAAAAATTAAAAAAAAAAGAAAAAAAGAAGAGAGAGGAATTGTCGAGGCATTCGAACCTCGACAATTCGAGACCCTAGCAGTGCCGATATATATTATACAAAAGAATCACCCCCAAATTGTTTTGTTTTGCTGGGAAAGCTGATGCGTAGTAGGGGGGTCTCATCCTAAGCAGTAGCGTGTGTGTGTGGCTGTCCTGTCTGTAGTGCAACACGGGTTCTAAACCCTGCGCACATGCCCAAAACGCGTTTTATGCTCAACTTTTATTCAAGTTTAGAGTTGAACTAACCTATACTATCCTATCCTATCCTAACTAATATACATACATGTATTGGTGCGGGTTCCCACTTCTCATACCATAAGCTACCTCCATTTAGGCTTCGTTTGAGCACAGACTTTTTTGGGTTCGTTTGGGAAGTGGGTTAGCTTTTTAACTTTTTAGTTTTTTTGGCTATTTTAGCCTGAGGCTAAAAAGTCTGGTTTGGGAAGGGCTTTTAATTTTTTTGGCTTTTTTGACTTTTTTGTGAGAGAAAAAATGTAATGATTATGAGTTTGATGTAATGTTTTATCTTATTGGATTAAAAAGCCTATTTTGTTTTTTATGGCTAAAATAGCCAAAAAGGCCCCAAGTTGGGCTTCCCAAACGAAGCCTTTAGTAACTTTATGATTTTTTGACTAAAATATGATACAAAAAAAACTAACATGTTTGGAATGACTTTTTAATTTTTTACGAAAAGATGTGCAAAAATTAGAGAGAAAAAAGAATCTTTAACTTTTTTGTATAGGTTATTGATTGTTTGATTTTTTTAGTGACTTTTTAGCTTTTTGGCTAAAAAAATCACTTGCCAAATGAGGCCTTAATTACCAGACACAAAAGCAATGCAAATATATATATGCATATATCATGCAAATATGGGTATCAGACTTTCAGTTTGCTATTCTAAAGAGTGAAATTTCTTTTACTTCCTTCTATCAAGTCTCTGAGTGTGTAGTTTTCACTAGTAAATCCACAATTTACACTGCTTCCACTAGTTTTCGTCATTTCAAGATTTTCCCATATCAATTCATGTTTTGTGTTTAACTTGGGCAAAAATTTCTTCCGTTTTGGAGTGTTTGTGCTTTATAGTTTCGCAGCAATAAGTGTATTATGTAGTTTTCCCAAAACTAACTTCCATTGTAGTAAACCAAGCAAAGAAGACTTTTGTTTCATTTAAAGACATGGGTAACATAATATTCCATACTTTAAGTTACAACAATTCCAAAGACGAAACTTCGAAAGCTTATGCGTTGCCTATACAGGAGCAATAACAAGTTAGCATGTGCTAACCCAAAAGTCGTTACAAGATATGAAAGCATGGCCCTCGGAAGCTAAAATGGCCTAGCAGCCTCTTCCATCAGCTTCTTTACTCTAACCAATTTTTCTATCTCCATGAGAACCTGCAATTGTATAAAGAGAAGGGATAGTCCCAAGCTAAGTTTCCTCATCCATTTTACTTAATCTTAAGAACATGTTATGCTTGTGTGTGCGCGTGTGTAACTTCACCTCCATAGCCATGTCTTCTTTGGTTACAGCATCCAAGTCATCATGACCTAACTGGGAAGCCACCTCTGCAAAGAACAAGAGACTGTTACAAAAAGTGGGAAATAATAATCTAACAAAGCATGAACTATAGAAAAATCAATGGGCATACTGTGAAGAGAAACAGTCGTATCCGCTGTAGCGTATCTGCCTTTCAGCTCTTCATACAAAACAGCAAGCTGATTGAACATCCATACAACACATTTACTTGAGTCAACACTGTTAATCAGGAGCGCTCAACAATGGCATATACTCTGAATGTTTATCAGGTTAAATAATGGAAATTCTTTTATGAAGAAAGAAGAAGTAAGCTAATTAGAAGTTTGAGTGGGAAAAACTGACCTCAGAATAAGATCCAGAACTAAATATTTCTGATTCAGAAAGTTGACTCCCATTTTCTATGGCATCCCTGGCTATCATGTCTAGAGGGACATCAATCCATATAGAAAGCCCGTGTCTTAATAATGCCCTATAAGTGTTAATTGGAAAATCGAGTTGAAAACAAAACTTGATGTTTGAACACAACAGAATAGACTAGTACTGCAGAACAAGATAAGTAGAGAAACAGAGGAATCAATAGACATACAGATTAGTTATGCTCTGAACTGCACCATTTCCAGCACAAACAACCAGGCGACCCATGGATGATAACTGCTTCAATACTTCAGTCTGATAGAAGAATCACCGTAAAACTTAGCCAGTTTATCTAGATTTGAGCAACTAAAGCAGATTGCGTAATTGGATTTATTGAATTTTCTACGATTAATTGTTCAGTTTTGGTCACGGGATGCCTCAGTTGCAAGATAGGCATTTGCTCATTTATTGCCCAATCCCCCTTTGAATGACAAACCTAAAGAAAGAACTAAAACTAACAATCTCAAACCCTCAAAGAGGGGCATTAAAGAAATGTCTGCAAAAGTTACCTCCGATTCAGAAAATCCTTCCTTATCTCTCTCTCTAAAAGATTTGCCAGCAGATCCACCACCTGCAGCTTCCTCAACCAAATTATCACTGCGCACCAAGTAAACAAAAAAATTAACTCAGCTACCATATTTCAAGCTGAAAGAGCTTCTCCTGATTTTGCGATGGGATTGCATGGGTACCTGTCAAAGTAGTAATATCGCAATGCATCAGCCAGAAGTTTCCCCATACTAGTTTTCATGGCACCGTTTATCCCTTAATAGTTATGAGAACCATCATATCATATCATAAATAAGTATACAACTAGACATTAAAAAAAAAGGTAAGGATAAGATTTAATGACAAAATTTCATCAATCACTTCATCAAGCAGGGAGAAAAACAAAAAACAAAAAACAAAAAGAAAAAGAAAAAAAAAGGGGGTTCAATCTTTACAAAATAGTGCTCACCAACAAGAAATATGGAAGTTCCTTTTAGATCAGGGGAAATATCTATTGCCTTGTTCTGAAATAAAACTGAACAGTTAAAATTAGCACTTCAAACCATATGAAATTATTTCTCACCTCCTACTAATTGTTGTCAAACAATATGAGACAAAATGATAAAGCATGATTAATGTTACACTTGGGTTGTGTATGGATCATAGATTTTAGCAGCGATTTGGAAGGAAAAGAAAAAGGCAAGGGAAAAATCACTACCTAAATCTATGATCCAAACACAATGTTAAGTGAAAAGATAATCCTTCTTGCTTCCAAAAGAAAGCATCTTGAAAGCATTTTCTTCAGGCTCTTTCTTTTTTTTTAAAAAAAAAAAATTAAAGATTTACCAACAAATAATTGGGATTTGAACATTCATGTAAGGTGGGATTAAAATGTCACCTTGACTGCTAAAGCAAGATCAACATCTGCAACCTTTGTTGCCGAACCTTACAAAGAAGAAAACAAATTGAAAGGCAGAAAAAAAAAAAAAGAGAAGCTTTGTAAGTAGAATACTAGAGAATGTTGAGAAATTGAACCAAACCGAACATTAACATCTTAGAACTCCACCACCGCAATCCAATGGGCTACACCAAACAAGCTCGCATAATGATTAATTTAAACCACAATTCAAATGATACCCCCAAAAAATTGAAAGGTCCAACCCAACCCAACCCAACCCAACCCAACCCAACCATGTCCAAAAAAGTTATAATAATAATAATAATAATAATAATAATAATAGGAAGACACACTATTATTAACAGAAAGTACTTGCATTGTAGCTACCAATTATCAACCACAAAACGCCATTACACAGCATTTGGACCAAGACCAGAAATTTATTGTAAATAAAAAATTCAAATAGCAATTAGCTCTGTAAAAGCATATAGGAGCCTTGGCGGAGGCAGCAAGGCACGAGGGGGGTCACGTGCCCCCCCTGAATTTTGGGAATTTTTTTTATTTTTTTTGCAAATATGAAAAAAGAAGGTGATTATTGATTTAATGGTTAAGACTTGGCCTAATAACTTTAAGGTTATAGGTTCAAGAGACCACCATTATGTGTATTATGTTAAAGGTTAGGTGTGTACTCAATTTTTCTCCTTCCAAACACACATTAATGTGTACTAATTGAGTGTTGTTGTTGTTGTTTTGTTGCAAATATAAAGAAAATATTTTAAATAAAAAAAATTACAAAAATATTATTAGAGTGAAAGTTAATGACATTTTAAAAATTATGATAACAATAATGGTTGTTTTGAATGAAAATAAAGAGACTATTATAAACCATATCATCTATGAAAATTTTATGAAAAATTTTAAATGTAACGGTAATGTCATTATTATTGACATGTAAGTATAACTAATCTCACTATAAAGATATGAAATTTATTGGATTGTTAGTTACATCTAACATGTGAGGTTCACTCTCTATGTGTTTATTTACTATTAGTTGGTGATATCACATACTAGTGATGACGTGGTATTACCATTATATTGAATTTTTAATCAAATTTTGTATAAATTTTTTTTTATCACTATATAATTTATTTTAAGACTTATATTTATATTTTTTTATATTATCCATGATATACTAGTTATAAATAATATTATTTTTTTTTATGTTCCTCGAAATCAATCGTAAAAACTTGCGTTAAATACTTTTGTAAATTTTTTTAATGATATAATTAATAAGTGTCCCTTCTAATTTGATTTTCTAGCTCCAGTATAGTAATACTAGTGTAACTGTAAGAAGTAAACAAATATAGAATAAATAGAAGGTGAAGTAACTAACCGTAAGCAGCGTCATCGGGGAGTGAGCGGGGTTAAAAATTAAAGAGTCCAAAATAATTTATGAGGTGCTAATAACAGCAATATTTTTAAAAACTTAATAAATTCGATATTGTGGACAAAAATACCCCATTCTTGGATATGAAATTGATGGTAAGCTTTTAACTATTACAATGTAATGTTAAAAAAATAATTAATTAAATAAAAGCTAAAAAAAAACTAAAATTGTCAGGTGAAAGCCCAATAAGCTTTTATGATTATTCAATTATTTACCATTTATCGTCTCTTTTATTTTTAATTTTATGTATTGTATCTTTCATTATTTTTATACCAAGTTAATCCAAATTAGAAAGACTTGAAAATTATTTTTGTTTGGTTGAATTTTTAAAATTTATTTTGAAATTTTAAAAATTAATTCAATAAAAATAAATACAAAAAAAAAATGTTTTCAGACTTTTATAAATTATTTAGATACCAAAAAAATAAATAAAATGAAAAAGAAAAACAATAAGGGTGTTTTGGTCTTATTATAAAAAATAGCTATTAAATTTAGACCGCATTTAAGTTTTCACAACATCCTATACAAGGGTGATTATTCAGTATTCCCGGAGTCTGGACATGTGGTGCTCCATAAGGTTTTGATTGGTAGAGAGGGGTAGGAGCCCACGATTTATGTTGGGAATGAGGAACAACATGAGGCTAAGTAATTGGTGATTAGTTTGGAGTATGGCCACGTGGTGTTTTGAGATTATTAAATAATTTCCCTGTCTTTAGAGTTCAAAATTTAGAACTATCATTGTTGATATTTTTATACTTTATTGTCAGATGCTTTTTTTCTTTATTACTATTAGGTTACTCGTAGATCATTTGTTGTCTAAATTAATGGCATTTTTTATTAAATATTATTAAAAAAAAGTTATTAATTATTAATTTTTAACAACAGTTTAAAAATTGTCACAAAAATATCACTAATTATAAATTTTAGCGACAGTTTAAAAAAAGTCACTAATTGTAAGTTTTAGTGATAATTTATAAAAATTGTGACAAAAAAAAAAGTCACTAATTATCAATTTTTAGCAATATATGCAAAAAATTATTTTTAATTGCAATTTTACTAAGACTTATTTTCAATAAGACTTGATAAGAAATAAGTCCAACTATTAGGACCTATTACTAGTTTATCTAGAAAAAATTACATATCAAGTTATTTTTATATTAATAATTATAGATTAGTGATTTTTTTTTTCCAATATTTGTCAATTTTTCAATTTTTTTTTTCTTGACAGGGCTGTATTTTTCCCTTATTATTATTCACATTTTCTTTTTTAAAATATTATGCTTGACTTTTTTTTTTATCTTTGAAAGTTCACTAATATATCTTGTACGAATTGATTAAAAAAAAACTAAAATTTACAGAATTTGAACAGTGAATCACTTTGCTTGTTTTTGGTTTTCCAAAACTACTTTTCACCAAATTTCACTTTTTTTTCCCGTGTTGTTTTTTTTATTTTTATTGAATTTTTTTAATATTTTAAGTAATTTTTTAAAAAAATTTAGACACCTAACATAAATACACATAAAAGTAAAATTTTTGTGATTTTTTTTTTAAAAATTCACTAAATACCGAAAAAAAAATAACAAAAAAAATACGAAAATTCAATATATTTTTCGTATTTTTATGTATTTGGTAATTTTTTAAAATATTTTTTCAGAAATTTTTTACTTTTTAGATACATCTAAGTAAAGTGTATCTAAAAAAAGTAAAAAAAAAAGGAAATTTTTTTTTAAGGTCCCTAGTATTAAGATTTTACAGCATAAAGGACACTCAATATTTTCATGATGTCTAAGGTCCCTCAACATCAATCTAAAGAAAATTCAATCTAGAGAAAATTCGATCCAGAGAATTTCTCTGGACAAATCACAGAAAAAATTCAAAATTTCTCTGGACACATCACAAAGAAAATTTCAAATTTCTCTGGACAACAATGAGGACTAGTGCTCTACTTCAGAGAAAATTGGGTTGGTCCAGAGAAATTCTTTAGTTTGGACTCAATTTTCTCTGGGTTGAACTAGTGCTCTGCTTCAGAGAAAATTGGGTTGGTTCAGAGAAATTCTCTGAGTTGAACTAGTGTTCTGCTTCAAAGAAAATTGAGTTGGTCCAGAGAAATTCTCTGGTTTCCAAAGCTTCCACATATTATAGGGATGAAACACTGGAATATCTTGTCCATAATTGCCTTAAATCACATGTGGTTTTCGTTTTGGAGGAATAAAAGGAGCAACTTTGTAAAGAAATTTTAATCAATGGACAAAAAAAGAAAAAATAATTCAAATGAATTAAAGCACCGAGAGAAGAAATTTGTGGGTTATAAAATGAATTTCAATTCTCAAGTTGACATCATTACACCTGTGAGGGCCGAATATTGGGAGTCGTAGAGATTCTAGGTAGTCGAACATTGAAGAATCGAGATTCGAAATATTCGGCCATTGCCACGGAAACTCGGACATATCGACCTTATCTGGCTAGATAGCCGATTAAGTAAGGGGCCGAGTGAAGATCGGTTATTTACAAAATATACCGAATAGTGGGATGGATTTGGAACTGATCCTGAGGCCCAAAGAAGAAAAGATATAAATAGAAGAGACATCAGCTAAAAAGAGGTATGTGATAATTGTGGTGTTTAACTAAAAATACAAGTAATCTAGAACGAGAGACTGACTTGTCCGTCGGAGTGCTAATTCCGGCACCCCCGACCGGAGTGTTTACTTCCTTTCAGGTGACTATCGGTGGATCACGAGCGTCTCCCAAGATTAGAAGAGTATTTCCAAAAACCACTTCCTCACAACTGGCGCCGTCTGTGGAAATACTCAAGCATATCCATGGTGGACGTGACGAAGGACCCTCTAATAGTCACTGATGAAACACACGCAGGTAGACGTTTTCACTCCAACGAACACGCACGGACCGGAGCTTATTCCAACAAGACGCGTTTTGCACTTCACCTCACCTTCGACTCCAGAACATGAGGCAATGCAAGCAATCATGGAGCAGGCAAAGCAAAATGAGCAGAGGTTGGAAAACTTGATCGATGAGAACGAGCGCCTTCGTCAGGATTTGGCTTTGAAGGTAGCAAAATCCAAACAAGCTGTGCCCCAAAATCTCGAGCGACCTCTAAAAGCAGGTGATCGACGACCTCGAGCCCGGCTTCAAGACACCGATAGCAGCTCCGACTTATTATCCCCGGATCCCAAGAAGAATGGACGGTCTGAAGTTTCCAGTTCCTTCGCAGAAAGTCTGCATATAAAGTGGGCCCCCTCGTTCTACACCAGGCCATCAGAAGCGGTGGCACCTCCCGACACGACAAGAAGGAATAGGCAGTGTGAATATCGCGAAGATCACGATCGTGACAGTAACCATCCCATGAAAGACCTTCAGGAGTTGGTCCGAGATGTTCAACCCCAGCCATATGCCCAAACGTGCGCAACCAAACCAACTGTACTTCAGCGGGAATCACCTCCGCTTGCAGTCATCCATATGATATACAGCCTGTCAACGCCCTCTGCCGTGCATACAATTCAAACACACCCTGCACCCCAGAAGCAACTCACGCCGGCGAAACGGCCGTATGAAGCTCCTAGTATCAGCTTCGACGATTCTGATCTTATCAGCATAATAGTTCCCTACATTGATCCACTGGTCATTGAACTACGTGTCAACCGATTTATTATCGAGCGCGTTCTCATAGACCAGGGAAGTACTTCTGAGGTTATGTATTACAAGACCTTCATCAAACTTGGCTTAAACGAATCAGACTTGTCTCCGGCTCCTTATCCATTATTCGGCTTCAACGCAAATCCAGAATATCC